CCAGCCGGGACCCGCACATCTGCATCTGAATGGGATGGGGGAACTTGTCAAGGAGTCCTAACAGCACCGACACCTGCTGGGGAAGGGGACACAAAGCAAGGGCCCTCTGTAAGGGGCGACGAATTAATTTGGACAATAAGCCCCGCTCCGGCACCCTCAGAGGCCCCCACCGCGCCGCACACACACACACTGTTTGGCGGTATCCACACATCGTTTGAAATACGCTTTTCAGGGCTGCCGTGATTTTTAGGAATCGAAGGGACTGATTTAAATGTCTTGTTCCCCCAATAATTCGCCTTTTCCAGTCCTAAGATCCATGTAACCGCAATTCCCAAGATACTTCTGCCTGCGTAGGCAGAAATGCCCCGGAGGTAAGACCATCCTAAGGCGTTTTTCCAACATCGGGGTAAACGAACACAGACCTCCAAGGCCCCGGCTTCCCAGGGCGAAACGCTCAGGCCCCCTGTAGCAGCTGCTGTGAGCATCTCCCCAGCCGCCCGGGCGTGGGGGATCTGACGCGTACCCCTCGGGAGCCAAGCATATCTCCGAATAGCTGGACGGGAAGGAGGCGGGTACGGGCTGAAGACCGGGGCCCTGTCAAGCCCCTTCAGGAGGACGAAATTGCGGCGAGGAGGCTGGCGTGGCCGGGAGGAGGGCACCAGCTCAGACCCCTGACGCGTGGAGAAAAGCAAAGGCGCAGACAACGAGCGACTTCCGCTCTGAGTCCGTGTGGTTCGAAAAGAGAGAGCTCCGCAGACACCCAGGACTCGGAGCTGAGAGCCGAGCGAGGGTCAGAAACAACCCCAGGGGTGTCGGCGCCCAGTCCATCCCGGGGACGCAGGCACCAGAGGAAAGCGCCTTCCTTCCGCCACGGTCCGAAGCCTCGGGGGCTCCGGAGCGGCCCCAGCCTCGGGCCGCCCTGCTTCTCCGCTACGAAAGGAGGCGGTGCCAGCTCCGCCCTGCGCCGCACCCACTAGCTCGCGGAAAAATTCGTTCCCTAAACCAGAGCTGGGAATCTCAATCCTCCCTGCATCTTTCTATATTGGTACGTCTATGCCGACCTTAAAGAACAGAATAATTCCGCTCCAAAACTCCAATTAGCATTTGTTTTGCTCTCAGATGCCGTGGTAGACGAAGAGCTTAGGACGCTGAATTATCCTGTACGACCTCTGCCCACCTTTAGTTCTCTTTCACCGTTTCTCCGGAAATCTCAGAGCTCCAGCCCCAAGGTCAAATGTGAGCTGAGTCTCAGCATCCCAGTTGGTCCTCCTGGATGCATCACCAGGCCCCAACCCAGACAACCTTTTGAACCACGTATCGGAATAATTTAGGCGCAAACCCAAACTCGCCTCGCTTCTCTTGGCGGCATGCGCAGCGTTTGAGTTAAACTCCGACTCCGGTCCATAAAGACCCTAGCCGATCTGCCTCCTCACACCGCCCCCCTAAGCTTGAAATCCTACGAGGCACGCTCCACACGCAAATCTTTTCTCCCTTTTTCTTCCCGGGTCCCTCGTTTAAATAGCGTCGGCGCCTTTATTCGCCTGACCCTAAGCAGGGGAAAACCCGCCTGATCATCATTGTCTGGTCCGCGACCGGCCCCACCCCCGCCCCAATCAGTGTCACAAAACGCCCCTTTCAACAGATTCCAAACCCTCTTCACCCGGGCTCACCGAGCCTTCAACTTCATTAAGTGCGCGCTACGGCGGCGCTGGAGGAGGCGAAGTTTAAATAAACCGGAGCGGAGAGGGAGGAGGGGTGGGTTGCTAGTTGAACCGGAGAGGGAGAGAAGAGTTTTTGAAAAGGGGAAAAAAGTCATCAGGGGAAAAGCGCTTTGTAACCAAGAAGACGCGCCCGCTGTGGCGAGAACAAATTGGATATGGAGGGGAAGTGTCCGCCCCCACCTCAGCTCCCGCTCCTGGGTGGTCCGGGGAGCCCCAGGAGAAAGAAAGATGGGGAGGAATCGGCGGTGAAAAGAATTAACCACTTTAATTGGGCTGCAAGAGAGAAATGGGGAGAGGCTCACCGATGTGCCCCGATCACCCAAACAAAATACCCTTCAGTAAAATAAAATAAAATAAAAATGAAATAAAATGTCTGCCTTTAGCCTTGGCTAAAAGATGTATGTCAAAGTTTCAGAATCAAGGCTGTTCTCAGCCATAGAAAGCAAATCTGCAAGATGGGGAAATTCTGCCCGGAAAAACCCCCTCCCTCTTCTGTGGCCTCAGGCCTCCCGGCGCCGGATGAAAAGGAATGAAATTGAACGAAATTGAACGAAATGAAGTGAAATTGACCAGTGAAATTCGCCAATTTTCTTCCCCTTTAAACTGCCCGCTCTCAGCAGCACTCTCTGAACCCCAAGCCGATTTCTTAGCATTTTTTTCCTCACCTGGAGACATGAAGGTGTGCCCTGGATATTTTCTTATTATTGTCACCGATCGTTGTAGCTTGCGGGGGCAGAGGCTCAGCTGTATCCACCCAAACAGCCAGGGAACCCACAAGAGCCGCTCCAGATGGAACGGCCTATTTCTCCTCCCAGGAGGCTGGGCTCCCTCCTAGGTAAGCCGACTTACACTGAACACCCATCCTTATGCACCCAGAGGGTGGGAGGGAGCCCACAGAACCTCTTACAGAACCTCTCTGGTCTGGGGGAGAAAAAAAAAGTCCCAGGACTCTACCATACAAACGTACAATTCCCTCAGTCTTCTCCTTGCCCCTCCCTACACTCCAGGCCCCAGGTGGGTCCTTGCCAGCTCTTAATTAACAGGTTCCCAGCCCACACAACCTGAAAAAGTTCTGAATTCAAAACACCCTGCCTTCAACAGTGCACATACCTCAACAATTCTTTTCTAGTATTTTTCAAGGCCAGTAATTATATCTGGCCCAGATCTGGCCTTCTTGACCCACGGGGAAACCAGGGTCTGAATCATTGGTCTGGGACCCCAAAGCTCCCTAGAAGCCCCTGCCTGTAAGGATGCATCTCACTCTTCCCCAATCCTCTTATTTCTCGCTCTTCCTGACGCAGACCCTCTGCCACATACATCTACACCAAGCAGTAAGTATAGATAAATTCACACACACACACACCCTTCACAAAGACACACTGAAGAATCCAGAAGGATCCACTGCTTCTCCTGGAAGTAGCAGGTGTGGAAATATCTATCTACATCATCAGATATGAATTCTGGCTGACTTAATTTTCTCTCTTCTACAGGAGAAACAAATTGGTGTCTTTTACTTGAAGCTCCAACCTACTATCTGGAACTGACATATTCATGGAAAATGAGACCATGTAAGCTATAAAGTGTTTTACTAAGGGCAAACACATGGTCATGTTCAAATGTTCAACCTTCCTCAAGTGAAAAGAAATGAAATCAAATTCAGCAACAGAAGTCAATGAAGCAGGCAGCCAGAGGCCATTATCCCAGTATCAGCAGACATTCCCTTTTTCCCATTGAATGTAACCTTACTTCTCCTGGACTATTCGATAAAATCATGGGAAGGTGGCTCCCTGCATTCAATCTCCCGCCACTCCTGCAGTCTCTCATCAAGATGGAGGAAAGGGCACCTCACCTCCGGCACAGAGGCTGCATTTAACACATGCGCCTCGAACCTTGTCTCCATTGGGCAAGCGGTTAAGAGACTTAGAAGTCCCAACCCCTCTTCCTCAGCCCTGGTGTGTTCTTCTCACCCTGATCCTGATTCTGACCCTCTTCGTACAGGGTACTCTGTGCTCTACCTCTTCTTTCTTTCCTACTGCTCCTACTGCCTGAGAATCTGGCTAAAGCAGCCTGTATGGCTTCTCCCTGTCTGCCCCTCTCAAGTTCTCTACATCTGGTTCTCTGACCCTTTCTTCTTCCTTCTCTCTGTCACTTGTTTCCCAACACTCACCCCCAGCATGTGTCTATTTTCTGTGAAGGCTGAACTGCCTCTCACTGCACCTCCATATTTCTCTTTTTCTTCTATGACCGCAGTTGAATGTTCAGAGAAAAGAGCTAAGTAACCATCTTTGTTTCACCCCAAGCATCACCTCTCACCCAACACACTTGCAAGTCTGGCCACTGGGAGTTCCAGGCACAGGGCTTATGGAAGGCTCCAGCCAGCCCAATGGCTTTGCACTCAACTCTGGCAACAGGTTCCAGTTCTGAGCGTGGCTCAAGGGTTGGGGAGGTTTACCTTAACAGAGCAGGGCCTCATGGACTCTCTCCCCTAGTTCATAGTGCCCCTCTAAGCTTCTCGGGCTGGAGGAGAGAGGGGTTTCACAGTCTCCAATTCAGGCCTTTCACTCTAACTGTTCCATGTGCCAGGAGTGGGAGGGGGTGGCAGGGGGGAATGCAAAGAAGGCCCTACAATGGCCAGAGAGAGACCTCTCTCCTCTTAGGGACACAGAAAGAGATGGTGACAGAGAACAGAAAACACAGAGACACGTTCACAGACACACACAGAAATAAAAACACAGATATCCTGAAATACGACCAACACCCCGCCCCTGCAAAAAAAGGACAAAAAGCAAGGCTACGTGACAACCCAGACAAACACAAACACAAGCTCCATAAAACCCCCCAACCATAGTAGCACAGAAAGACTTACAGAATATGCATCAGTAAACACTTTCACTCAAATTGTACTTAATGGGTATAGATAGTGTCCATGAGCATGAGGCACCCAGATCAGCCCAGGCCACGCTAAAGTCTAAACTGGAAGATGAGAATCCCCAGGTGCATTTGAAACAAAGCCTCTCTGCGGAACCCCAGGCAGAAACCTTCCTGTGACCAGAGCGAAAATGAAAGCGCTGGAGGGGTCACAGTCTTCCCGGAATCCTGGCCCCATTAACAGCCAAAGGCCAAGGCCACACTGTCCCCTGTATCTGATAAGCCCAAGCCCTCCTCTGCCTGCCTGGGCTGCCCAGGGCCCTTCCTCACTCCACTCTGCCTAGGAGTCCGGGAGGCCCCGGACTGGGAAAGGGGAGTGCAGACAAGCAGACAGAGCTGGTGACTGCTAGAGTTCACGTACATTTATTCAATTGACACCAATGGGGAGTGGGGTGGGGGGAGACAGGTTTTTCTTTTCTTCCACACAAACCTTCAGACAGTTTCACAGAGTCTCCCCAAGTGGAGAAGTCTAAATCAATGCACACCCAGTGGACAGAGAATGCAGATAGCAGCCCGCTGTACAGATATTTACACATAATTACAGGACCCCTGCCACAGGATGTGCCCTGGCCACCCCCCGCCTCTCCAGTCCCTGACCCAGACCCTCCTCTCCCACCCCAACCTCATTGCCTTTAGCTACAATAAATATCCCAGGGCCTGGGACGTAGCAGACCGCTGAGAGGGCTGCTGGCCCTGGATGGCTGGACCCAGCCGGCCACAGGAAAGGGGTAAAGTTTCTTCAAAAGCGCCCCAACACAAAAGAGGGAGGATTTTCCTCAATGGAGTGGGATTCCGGGATTGCGCACGGATTGTGGAGACCCCTCGCTTCACCTGTCCGTTCAACTTCGCCTGTGTAGACATTGCTGTAGGCTTCCAAGAGAACGAAGTTCCTTGGAGAACAGCAAGGAAAAAAAAAAGTTGAATTTTTCTTTTAAGCACAAAGCAGAGAATAGGTGTCTTTAAATTATAATATTGGACAATCAGGGCCTCAAAGTTGGGGAAGGAGTGTGGGAGAGGCAGAAAGGGAGACCTCTCTGCGAAGTTGGTGTTTCTGGCGGGATCTGCCGGGCCTGGGCGGGCACCTCTCCGGGAGAGCATTCTTCCGGGGCTGCCGAGAGGCGCAGAGACTGGGGAAAAGCGAAGACTTCCCCCTCACCCTTTTACTGCTCAAACTGGAACGGGATCATGGCCAGCGACCTCGTCGCATAGACCCGGGCCTCCCCCTGAGCGACGGAGCCCGCTTCGTCCCAACTATCGGAGAGATTCTGAGCGTGGAGCCTGAAGTGCTAAGTCACGCGCGCCGGCCCCAGGTCTGGAGACTCTTCATAAATAGACTCCCTGAGTTCCGCTGCGACCGCAGGAGCTCCCGGGAGAGGCTGAGGAGTGCGGGCTTCAGTGGCCCAGATCCCGACACGGTCAGAAGTGGCAGCCACTGAGGCCTGCTACTTTGCCAGCAAACGGGGGCCCTGAGGACAGGAGCGTGTCCCCGTGGTGCGAGAGGCGGATGTGGCCGGCCACTGGAGCTAGGGCTGGGGTAGTCAGCATGGCCAAGACCTGGGCCTGACCCCCAGGACCTGCCGCCGCCGAGAACGGCGATCCCGGGGAGCCCTCGCCCCCGCCCGGGGGTACTGCCGCGCCGCCACCGTGGCCCATGATGTGGTCTATAGAGAAGGAAGGCCTCTGCCCAGCCCCGGCGCCCCCGCCGCCCGCGTCCGTCTTGAGGCCCTGGCGCAGGAGCGCGGTGCCTGCTGCGGGAGGGCTCAGGGACGCGGGGTAGAAGGCTTTGGCGCAGCCAAGCTCCGCGCCTAGGAAGGCTGGCAGGCCTGAGGGGCCCGGGCCCGATCCTGTGCCCGGCGCAGGGGCCGGAGCCGAGGCTGCGCCCGCGAACACCGAAGCCGTCGGAGGTCCGGGTGGAGGCGCCGCGGCACGGCCTGGGGGTACCGACAGCTGGCAAGGTGCAGCGGCGGCGGCGAAAGCGAAGGCGTGTGGATGCGGGTGCGGAGCCGGGCCCGGCGGGGGTGCGCCGTAGGCCGGGAGCGCTAGCCCGTAGCCGTAGCCGTAGGCGCCATAAGCCGCGAAGCCCGGCAGGAAGGCGCCGGCGTCCCCCGCCGCCGCAGCCCCGCCGCGCAACAACAGCTCAGGGTGAGGGTGCGTGTGTGGATGCGGCGGCGGTAGCGGCTGCCGCTTAAAGCGCTTGCGGCGCCGCAGGAAGCTGCCGTTGTCGAACATGTCGGCCGACTCCGGGTCGAGCGTCCAGTAGTTGCCCTTGCCCGGGTTGCCCGGCTCGCGGGGAATCTTGACGAAACAGTCGTTGAGCGATAGGTTGTGGCGGATGCTGTTCTGCCAGGCGGGGAATTTCTCCCGGTAGTAGGGGAAGCGGCCGCTGATGAACTCGCAGATCTCGCTCAACGTCAAGCGCTTCTTGGGGCTCTGCAGGATGGCCATGGTGATGAGCGCGATGTACGAGTAGGGCGGCTTCACCAGCGGGCTCCGAGTCGCCGCGCCCCCCGACGGCGGTCCGGGCCCGGGCCCCGCCGCGCCCCGGGCGGCCGCAGTGCCTGGCCCTGGGCTTCCCGCTGCGGCCGCCGCCCCTCGGGGCGCTAGAGCGCGGGGCTCGCCGTCCGAGCAGCCGCCGGATTCCTCCTCGTCGTCAGCGGCGTCCCCCTCGGCTTCCTCTGGAGGAGGCTCGGGGCCGTGGGGGAGTAGGTCCCGGGGGGCGCGGGGTCCGGAACGGGCAGGGGGCTCCCCCCCACCGCTGCCGCCGCCGCCGCCGCCCACCACGTCTATATCTGCGTCGGCCTCGGACAGCGCGGCCGGGGAGCTCTCGGAGGACATGATCTCGCAGCAGCAGCTGCCCAGGGTCATGGTGCCGCCGCCGCCACCGCCGCTCTCCGGCTCCGCTCCGGCCGCGGCTCGGGCTCCGCCGCGCTGCCTCTGGGGCGAGTGTGTTTTGCGCGCGGGCGGGGAGGGGGCGGGGGACTGAGGCTGGCAGGGAGGGGTGTCCCCCAGCTCCGCAGCGCCCCCTCGTGGCCCACTCGGCCGCTCTCACCTCTCGATGAGCACCCGACTGGGGGCGGCTCTCTCCGCTGCCCTGGGAAACCGAGCGGGGGCCTGCGCCCCGGGCGCGGGCGGAAGGAGTTGAGGCCTTCCCTTACACAGCCGGTCTCGGCCCCCAGCCGCCCCCCTACCCCGGGAGGGGAGGTCGGTAAATTAGTTCTTCCCGCCTGGCGGCAGCCTAAGGCGGAAGAACGCGAGCCCGGGGCGGAGCTCCCTGAGCTGGGTGGGGCGGGGGCGGGCGGAGTGCCTCCGCGGAGGGGCCCGGCGGGAACAAACAGCCGCCGCGGCGGGAGCGCGGCTCGGGTGGCTCGAGGCGGGTCCTCCTTTCACCGCAGATCCCGCAAACCCTCCGCTCCCTGGGGCCGCTGCCTTCAGTGCGCTTAGCCCTGGATGTTAAGGTTCACTGCGGGCTCCAGCCGGAGGTGGGAGTAGTAGCGACAGTCCCCACCCATCATCTCCCCAAGGCAGCGCCCGGGCCACCAAGGCCGAAGCGCAGTTGGCGCGCCAGCGGAGCCTGAGACGCCCGGACCAACGCCGCCGGAGGGGGGCCCGAAGGAGCCCGAGCGGCTTCCGGCCCAAGGGCAGTCGCACTTGAGTGATCGCGAGGAGCACACTTGGCGTTCTCAGCCTCGGGCCTCGGAGAGGTGAGAGATTCCGGCTGCGCCCCTCTCCTCCCCTCCAAGGCCGGGACCCCGTCACCCATCCCGTCGCCGCGCCGCGTGGCTCCAGACGCGGCAGTGTGTGCGGGGAGACCCGGGTAGCGCTCCGCCTGCCCGCCGCCCGCTTCCTAGAACTTTTCCGGGGCGCTTCGGTTGTATTTTGGGAGCGCGGACCGGTCCATCGCCGAGTTTGCCTGTATCCGACCTTTTTCTGTCTTGGTATCCGTTTGTCTCACTCAAGCCGTGTAACTCTTGTGTTTCTCTCGCCCTCGGTGAATCTCTGCCTCTGTTTCCTGTGGAAACTCTGCATTTATCTGGATGTCTGTTCGTGGGTCCGAGAATCCCTCGCTCGATTTCGTCGTTTCTCCCACCCCCAGTCGCACTGCAGGGCCACTAGCCCTCCTCCCCACTCCCCTCTTTTCTGGCCGGTCTTGCAGGCTCTACAGACAGGCAGCAGGACCCCCACCGAGACGTCCGTCAATGAACCCTGACCTCAACCGCAAGCCAATGTTGCCTTCATCTCTCAGGATCCTGTGCACACAGTGTTGGTCCTGTGCCCTTTTTCTCGCCAGCTGGGGTCCTGCCCATAGTCCTCCTGCTCCCCTGGCTTCCCCCCAGGAACCCAGCAACCAGTAGCTCCAGCTCAGACTGGGCCCATCTCAACCTCTGGGGGTGACAGGGGAGATGGGCGCTGGACGTGGTCAAGTACTGAGCCGATGGACGGGCTGCTGCCCCGACAGCGCCCCGCCGTGGTCAAAGCTCGGGCATGCGAGGCGCGAGACCCGGCTGCGCTCAGCTGTCACAGGCTGTAGGACAGTCAGCAACTTACTTCCCCCTCCCAGCCTCAGTTTCCTGCTCTGAATAGAAGTTACGAGCCCCTGGCGCCAGGCTGCTGGAATCCCAGTCCTGGTTTCACTACTTACCTGTTCTGTAATATGTTGCTATAAGTCTTTGTGTCTTTGTTTCTTCCTGTGTAAAAATGAGGTTGAAAACAGCTACCCTCTGACTAATGTGTAAATGTAGCCATATCATTCTAGGCTACTTACAAAGGAGGGTATTGAAGGCACTTTGCAGACTCTTGGGGAGAGAGAAACGGGTTAGGGGTGGTATCGCCTCCCACCTGGGTCTCAAACCAGGGTTTAGCGCTGGACTGGGTTACTGCTGCTATCTAATCCTCTCCGGTGCTGAATTAGGTCCTCTGTAGATAAGTGCTGGGAGTGGGGTGGGAGGGGATTTGCAGCCCCTGCAGGCTGTATCTCAGCAGGGTCATGTGAGGGTGGATGAAATCTCCCTTTCACCCAACAGTAGTCTCCAATGTAGTGTATTCCACAGGTGGGGCAACAGAAGCCCGCGGTGGGCGGGTGGGCGGGTGAGGACTCAGTCTCTTACAACATGATAGAGCATGGCCAGGTGCACCCTTGTCGTGGAATCCTCATGATAGGGTTCTCCATCCTCTCCAGCCATCCGGCTAGGAGCAGAAGAGAGTGGAAGGCAGGTCTGGCTGCTCATATCCCGTGAGAGCACGTCCACTGGGCACCCCCTTCTGGGACCTCAGACCAAGGGGATCCACCCAGTATGCTGGGTCTGCATAAAAAGACTGTCCTTGGGAAAAAGAAGAGATCCGGTCCTCAAACCATTGTCAGGAAATTGGACAGGGACTAGTGGCCCTGGAATCAGAATTTCCTAGGTGATAGGTCCCTCCGGGGGCGGGGGGAAGGCCTTGGAGAGAAGTATTGATATTTTGCATGAGTCCAGATAAACTCAGATACCCAGCGTTGCTAGATTTAGCAGATTTATTTTATCTGGCAAACTTACACACACCCCAAGCTTGCTCATTACTACGTGGAGCTCTCTCTGACACTCACCATTCACCACATACACACCAGCTCCAACCCAGCTCAGCTCTGCTAATGTCTAAGTAAGTGGAGGGAAATCAGCATTGACATCACGCTTCTCCGTCTCACTTTCTAAATGTCTTCATTTCTAAAACGGCAAACGTGAACCAGTAGCTTCTTTCTTTGCCAGGACTCTCTCCTGGCTCCCCACGCTCCAGCGCCCTGCCCAAGTTCAGGGTAAGACTAGCGGAGGCATTTGTTGCCCAAATATCCTGGTTCTTGCTCCAGTCAGGACTCTACTTCTCTATAGAGCGGCTGCAGCCACCAGCCCCCACCTCTGCCTGGCCCTGCTGCACACTCCATGCTGCTGAGACCCAAGTTAAGGAAAGGGGACATGGCCCCCCAACCCATTCTGCAAGGTGATTCTTAAGAAATTCTCCAGATTCTTAAAAACACACACAGTTTTATAGGAGTGGAAACTGAGGGCCAGGAGATCCAGTGACTTGCAAGGCTTTCGAAGGGCCCCCGAGTTGAGTTGGGCCCAGATGTCCAGGCTCCCAGTCTAGAGCTCCTCTATTTATCCAAGTAACTCTGCTTAACCCCTGGACGAGCTCGACTCTTGCCTGGGGAGGGGTGTTTCTGGGAGCCTCTCATTCTTCCCAAGGCTCTGGGCAAATTTGTTTTGAACACTGCCAGAAGTACATGCACTGGGGATGGGAGAAGGGCGACCCGGTATTCGGGATTCGTTTAGTTTCCTGCCCGTCTCCCGTGGCTCCAGGCTTTCCCATCTGCAGGCTCAGCCTCTCTGACGTCTTCGGGTCGTGTGTGCGTCCCCGGGTGAGTCTGTCACTGCGCTCCGCGAAAAACTGGGTGCTCTCCCAGAAGCCCGGGCACCAGCACCCATGCCTGCAGCCTCCAAGAAGCAGGAGGCGACAGATTTAGCAGGTCTTGGTTACAATGTCACTGGTAGTTCCCAGTCCCCCTCCTTCCTCTATCTCACTGTTTAGCCACCTTCCCTGAGCAGCTCAGAAACGATTGGGAGGATGCGTTTGGGGGGCGCCTGTTCAGGGGTTTTCCACTCCAAAATGTTCGGAGCACCGGGGAGACGTTGTTGCGTGTTTATTGCGATGTGTTGCTGTCAATGGCGTCCCTCCCCTTAGGCTCCTCCCTTCCCTTCTTTTGCTCCCTGTAGACGTGCTGTTCTCCTCGCCTCGCGGGAAAGGAGAACTCTCGGATGGTTATGAGAATGTAATTAAGTCAATCGCAAAACCGGCCGAGAGCGGCGCTGAGCTTGCTGGAGGCGGGGGCGCAGCGCGGAGATTTCCCTCTGCCTTCCCAGGATTCGAGGGCTCAAGTGCAGCGAGCGCGGAGGTCCGCCCTCGGTGCAGCCGGGCTGCAAAGCTCCGCCTGAACCGGGCAGGGGACCCCACGCCTGCACACTTCTCTAATTTTATTCACAAACGTGGCCAGGCTCAGGGAAAGCGACGAGACCCGCGCAGCCACCCCCTTTTCTCGTCCCTCCCTGTGGCCGCAGCGGGTTCATCTCCCGACCCCTTTCTCCTCCACATCTTCGCCTGCTCAAAGGCGATCGGCTCTCTTGGCCCTGAGTGGGAGGCGAGAGACTCCAGATTGTGTGACCTGCAGGGGCGAACTGCAGGCGGCGGGGCTCCCCACACACGGGAGTTCAGGGAGACGCCGGCCCCTCTTCGAGCACAGAAACGGCAGGGCCTCCGCGTGCGCTCTTTCACCCCCAGGCGCGGGCTCAGGGGTCGGCGCCTCTGCGGCCCCTCACAGCTCGGGTACCCTCCACCTCCTGGAGGAAAAGTCTTTCTCTTCTTCCAAGTGTGCACGGCCACCGCCCCCTGGCTACGTGGTCGGGGCCCCCGCGAGCACCCTCCGGCCGCAGCACTGCGCGGTCGCTGCTGTACCAGGGCGCCTCGGAGCCTGTGCACTCCCGTTCGTTCGCGGGAAGAGGGTTGCGGGCTTAGGAGAGGGTGAAAACAGCGCGGCTCCCAAACCGCCCGACTTGGGGCGCCGGCTTCGCAGTGACCAGGGCAGGCCCCACACGCGTGGGAGATGTGCCGCCGGGCCAGGGGAGTAGGGAACGCTTCCAGGTGTGGCAGAGCGTGGGCCTCAGGTCAAAGTGCCCTGCTGTCTAAGTGCGTCCTGTGTTGCCGGGTCCGCGCGCGTGTGACTGCCCCTCCGGGCGACGGTGGCTTTGTGTGCCCAAGTACGTCCGTGAGCGACTGGCGCCGGTGCCGAGTTCTCCCTTCACGACCGCACATCTGTGACGGGGACAGCCCTGGAAGGCTCGCCAGCCAGGCCCACAGCTCCGCCTCGGGTCCTGAAGGGGTGCGACCTGGTCGGGGGCTGCAGACCCACTTCGGGCCACAGCGTGACCCCGGCAGGGAAGGAGGATGTGAGAATGCGAGCCTGGGCAGGGGGCTGCGACAGTGACGAGGAGAGGGAGGAGAGGGTACAGGGGCTTCGAGCGGAGAGCCAGGAAAACTGCAGCGGCCGCCTCCTTCCTACCCATTCCTCGCCGCCTGCGAGGGCAGCAGTGCCTCGGGAACCGGACGGCCTTTCGCAGACCGGAATTGGGGCGGCGAGTGGGGGGGGCGTGCAGAGCCGTCCGAATTCGGTCCCCTACCCTATACACACGAACGCACACACACGCAGTCACGTTTAGCCTTTCGGAGCCCCCGGCAGGGTAACTGGTGAAGCGGTAAGCCCCCGCGCGGGCGGGGAAACATTGCCGGGCCTGAGCCTTCCGAAGCTGCTGCGGAGTCACATAAGCCCCGCAGAAGCCGAGCGAGGGGACCAGCGGGAGTTCTGGCCCTGCGGCGCGGACGCTGGTGACGGATTCCTGGGAAACAGCGACCTCT